GGCACCATTTGTTGAGAGGTTTGGCACATACGTGCTATTATCCATGCCATATTTTTCATTTTTGACTCAACCTGATTATTGCTTTTATTAAACCACTTTTCTATTTCTAGGTCAGGAGGAAGGTTACTAACTGGCTTTGGCCTTTCACCAACTGGCATGCTGGCATGATCTAACTTATGGAATTGATCTAAGCTATCTCTTGTTATTGTTTTTGCCCTGTTGATGTGCTTAATATCTATGTCAGTCTGCCTTATATTTGCCGGGCCTCTTTGCCACAGCATCATTTGCGTGCAATGAAATGTGTTTTTTCCATCTATTGTTTCCTCAAGCACATCAATATTATCACATGAGGCTAGAACAATACGGCTAGGGGAATATGGTACAAGCTCACTTGGGATATATATATGCCCATTTTTGTTAAACCTGTCGATTATATCTGAAGCTATTGTAGTATCAATTCTTCTAATTGTATCCATCCCTATTGTATGACCTGCTGCATGAAATAAATCAACAAGCTTTTCTGACCTAGTTGCCTGGTGTAATGTAAGCCCTAGACCAATATGCCTTGGGGTCAACACTCTCTTTCTAGAGGCTAAGTAAAATATATCCTGAGCAATGCTAGTGATATGGTCATCTAATTTAGATGATCTTTCTTCTAATATATCTGTTCCCCCGAAAAGAACTGAAAGAAAAGTATATAAGCTTTGGGGAATAACTTTAGCAACATGTTCCTTATCTAGCTCACACCATGCAGCACTATGACCTGGTGTATTTTCCAAATCATTCCTGATGATCATAGCTGTATGGACTAATTCTAGCAGGGCATTGTCTTGGAAGGGAACAAGGTGATCATTACCAAGATTGTCTTCATTACCAAGATTGTCTTCATCATCATTACTCACATATTCTAGGTGTTGTGCTACAGCAAAATCAGTCTTATTGTTGGGGGTAAACAAGGAGGTGAGCCTTAGGATCTATGGGTCTAATAAAACCAGCCTTTTCACCAATTAAATTTTGGATGTCATTATAAAATGATTGCCTCCTTGTTATGTATTTCTGGGGGATTTGCATGTTTAGATTAGAACACAATTTCTTATAGTGAACCCAGATATTTCCCATATCATACACATGACCAGAGTTTAACCCTGTTAGAATAGCAGAACAAAGTATATCAAGGGATTGGTCACTATTCCTAGGATCCACGGTTTTCAAAATAGATATAGTAATTGTTCTCTGGAATTTAACCCAGCACTGTACATGATATTCCCCTCTGCAGCCACTAGGTCACATACATTTGCTAGTCTCACACGCATAACAACATCTTGTTTTGCCATTCATAAAATTTTATCTGACAGTGTCATCGTCATAACATTTCTGAGGTTTTTGCCTTCACTTGTTTGACAAAACATACATATTTCCCATTTTATGTTATGCTCATGTCTGCTGCGTGTGGAGGCCTTATGTGCAACAGTATTACTAGTTGAAGCTTCATGGACTGTTTTTATGCCCTCTTGTTTCTTCTCAAGCCTATTTAGCATGCCTATATGGGTGAACTTGCTATAACAAGAACGATGCCATTTTAAATCATCTAAATTTATATTTTCACCGGTTCCAATGGTAGCAAGTATCCTTTCAATAACACCAAGGGAACTTGTATCATTCAGAGATTTTCTTTTTAGGGCAACCTCAACAACCTTGCTTTTCCCTTCCTCTGTTGCACTACTCAAGCCACTGCCTGCTGCAGTCTCACTGCCCTCGCAAAAGAAACACTTGGAAATCTCTGAATCTCTCTTAACCTTTTTAAGGACAGTTATTGGATCTATTTTCGGATAAAAAGGTCGTTTTGAGCTAGACTCATAACTCATTTTTGCTGCATAAAAAAATATATCCGAAGGAAAACTTCTATTGGCGACCTGATTAGAAGATTGCTTAATGTTGTTGGAAAGAACACATAAACTACTTGGAGCGACAACTGTAAATGTTATCAAAGTGAAAGCGGAAAGATTCATAAGCAAATAGTACCATAAAAAACTATGAATATTGAAGTGATTTTTAATGAACTACATTATTAAAATAAGTAGAAAAAACATATATACAAACTTTACTGTGTATTCTTTGATGTCTTTGCTTTTCTGTTGGTTTTTTTTTATATACAAATTCGTTTTTACAGTGTATTTCATGTTGAAAACAGTGAAAAAAACGACCAACGTTCTTTCGAGTTTGTCGTTGTCAAGGCAACAAGGGAACACTCGCAAGTTAAAGGCAAGCGCTGATTGGTTATTTCGGGAGCTGGGGAAAGCCCAATAATCATTTCCCGCCATTTTTCCTGTGTAGTTTATGCGCTTTCGAGAGGTGCGGAAATCGTAAACAATTGAGCTTCAAAAGCGAAATATTTCGTGCCAACAGGCCTAATAAGTTAGGTAATTTAAAGTCTCAAAGTAAATGAGTAGATTAAATAAAACATATTTTATGAAATAAAAATGGAGATCACCAATGCTGTAATTTTCTAGTCAAATTGAACAATACACAAAATATCATTACTGTTGAAACGCCATTGTTGCCATGGCAACGAAAATTACTAGTAGTTTCTGAAAAATTTTCTGGAAAGATTCTCTATCACTTTTTCGGAAATAATTTTTTTTAAGAATGTGAAGTAGAATATAAGCATTGGCAGCGAATGGTCTTGTGATTTCGCGAAAACTAAAAGACCAAAACTTGACAGCAATATGGACGTACAATTGAACTATAAGTAAACTGGAACGATAAATTGGCCGCTATCTTTGAAACCGGTTATGATTATTTTCTGCAGGTAGCCCCAGTCCTTTTTTACAAAATGGATGCGAAAAATACAGCTGAAAAACGTTAATATTTTATCACTTTTACTTCTTGCAAGGCATTTATATTTATCTTAGAGCACACTTGGACAACACATTTTTTATCTAAGGCACATAAAATAAGCAAATATTGTTTAGCTGCCGAAATATGACACGAATAAAACGAAACTCGGCAAAAAACCGCGCGAAAATGTATGGTTTCTCTGAGTTTGTAGACTTTTCGGAAAGAATTCAGAGACAAATTTATACAATTTATGTAGAAAAATCTTAGATACGGTTGTTAATGGAGTTCAAACATCCAGAAACGTACTTTAATAAGTTAAAATTAAGGATTAAATTAGTAAAAATACATCGTGAATATTTTTTGTGTATTTATTTTCGTATACATACCTGCGAACAGGCTGTACTTGAGCGCCCGAAATTTGGCTTCACCCAAACACTGCAGGCCTTTATCATAGGAGTTATCGATCCAGTTTACTTATAGTTCAATGGGACGTACTGCCGAATTTTTATTGCCATGACGATCTGAATGAACTGCGCAGGCACAGTAATGGATAAGTACACTCAGAAGAATGTTGAATATTTTATAAACAAAAAGAGCCGCCTATAGATCTCTCTCTAATAATACACATTATGAATTCGTTGAGATCATCAATCTTTATTATTTTGTCATATACTGTAGTTTAATTAATAACGATTAATTATTAATGCTTTGTACTACAATCAATTAGTATGTTGTAGCGTAATACTGTCCAATTCTCGTTATTTTTACCTACGTTCACTAAGTAAAACAGCGTATGACTTAGAAAATGAAATTTATAAGAGAAGTCATGCACTTTGTGTCTCGTTTGTCTTCTTTAATTAAAATTCAGTGCATGCTCTAGTCCATTTTGAGAATTTGTAGCCCAGTTTTTAATATCGAGAAAACAAACAATTATCAACTCCGTGGTATTTTTAAATAATTTACATTATAAATTATATGCTATTATTGCCTGAAAAATTAAATTAGTTTTTCCATAAACGTATACGTATTAGTAATGCGCTGACAGTTATTATAAAAGCACAGTGACACAGCCGCCTGTTGCCAAGAAAACACAACCAAAACCTTCATATTTAATAACCAAGAGAGAAGCAAAAAATTCAGAAGATAAAACAAGCAGATACATAGGGTATTCAAATATTAGTGTATCGCAAAAAAGCTTCGCATTAAAACCAAAATCGAAGAAATGCTATCGAGCGACTACATTCTTGGATCACTCCTAACATTAGTTATATTATGTGGTATATGTGGGAATCTTATGGTCATATATGCCATCTTGAAGGAACGACGATTACTCAAAAGCAACTATTATTATCTCGTTTTAAATTTGGCAATTTTTGATGTATTTCACGTTCTGACTGCTCTACAGTTGAACTACATGAATTGGTTCCAGACAAGGCTTTTAACTCAGACAGTTGCCTGTAAAATTTGGGGGTTTTTTGAGATGCTTCTTTGCAATTGTGGGATACAAATAATGGTTATCATTTGTATCTCTCGTTACCGTGCAGTTCTGCATCCTTTGAAACCTCCTATTTGTCGAAGAAAGTTAAGACTACTACCAATTATTCTGTTTGTTACTGTAAGCATCTATCTTATTCCTTACATTGCGGTCTTTGAGTACAGTCCATTGAAAGGATGTTATAAAAAATGGCCGAACAAGACGTTTGGGCTTATTTACACTGTATTTTCAATGAGCATTCATTACATCTTACCAGTTACAGTCATGTCCGTATTGTACTATAAAATTTGCAAGGCTTTAATCTATCAAACAAATAAAATGAATTCTTTGCTTCAAAATGAATCTGGACCCAGAGGACAGGAATCTCTGGTCGGAATACAGGAAACCGATTTCCAAAGAATTCGGCATCACCGCAATACAAGAACGTTTCTTGTGAGTGCTGTAAGCGTTGGGATTTTCGCAACAGCGTTGATACCATTTGAAATATGGTGGATTTCTGATGCCAATAATTTTGGAATTTTTAAAAGCGACTACGCAGGCTGGTTTTATCTTTCGTATATGATTGGCTCGTCATCTGTTAATCCTTTCATCTATGGAGTGTTGGACAAGAAACTTGTTGAAAGTTTTAAACGGAGTGTAAAAAGAAGGAACAACTAGTGGGATTGGAATATTATCTCATACCTAGCATATTAGCGGCTTTCTTATTGGCTACGAGGAGGTGCGTTCAATCTCGAATCCACCTGCTGACGTATTATTAGGAGGGGCTTCGAGATCGATGTTTCGGCGGCGGCCATTATAAAGCGATTTGAACAAATTTCAGACGAAGATTTAAATAGAAAACTAGAAAATACATGCATGCAGAAACCTTCGCCTTGCTGACAAAACCATTGTATTTTCCGAACATGAAGTATCTAAAGTAGTTGTCATGTTAACACGATAATTTTTTAAGAATATTCTTACAAATCGCCTAAAAATATCACTTTTAATTACAAAATTATCAATTTCCCAACATATATATGTTTGGTATGTTATTATACGTAATATAAGCCTCAATTTAAGGTAAAATTCAACCACAAACGCTTCGCAAAACGTTTTAAAGTGTTCTTTATAAAACTAAACTGCCTTTAATTAAATGGCTTTATCAATAAACTTTGAGTTTGCAATAAATTGATTTCAAATTCTCGCAGTCGTTATAATGCAAACTTAAAATTGAACCAATCAGTGTCCGCTATTCATGACAGTCCGCCGTATTTTTGAGATCAGTGAGGATGACCACCCATCATTGGTGACCCACGCCCGCGATAATTGATGAACTTTAGACTTCGATAATGCTTTCGTTTCCCCGGGTGTAAATAGCCGAGGGAAATTGATACTCGGGAATAAATTAACTGTTTTTAATTATTTTATAATTATTATTTTTTATTTTGTTTGATAAAAATGGAATATTCTGTATTCAAAGTGGAAATAGAGAAAGATGGCCATTATAAATCGGTGATTGCTAGATAGTATACTTCAAAATAAGGTTTCCGTTTTTAATTTATAACGTAGAAAAAACTATCCTAACGCAAAACTAAACCCTAACCCTAATACTAAACCTAACCCTAACCCCAACCTAACCCTAACCTAAACCCTAACCTAATTCTTATTTTAAAAATAGAATAAAAACGGAAATCTTATTTTGAAGTATACTATCTAGCAATTGCCATTATAAATCTTGGCAACGTTTTCGCAGAATGTGTGCATTTTCTCTTTTCAAGCAAGAATCAGGAAATATTGTAGAGAATTTTTTTAGCTTCAATTTAAGCCTAAGTTTGTTTGTTTGCGTAGTATGTTGGCAGCTAAAATGTTCATTATCCAAACAAGAACTTAGATACTTTAACATGCGTGAATTCTTCACTCTTCAGTATTTTTTACTGAAATGGCATGTGATAAAAACCAAACATACTTGCAGGTTCGGCGAGCCCGGGATTGGACGCACCTCGGGTTGCTGGAAGTTTCCTCGGGTTGCTGGAAACTTCCAGCCACCCTTGGTGCGTCCAATCCCGGACTCACCTCCCTGCAAGTATGTTTGTTATAATAATGGTCAATTAACAATAAATAGAGTAAAACCTATAAGATAAAAAAACGAGTGAACAAAGCTACACCTGCATGAACTTTGTTCAAATAAAAACACTATAGAAACATGCTTGGCTGACTGAAACATCTGTAGTCTGGTTCTCAAAAATTTGGAATTTTTACTTTGACTAAGGTGGAAAGCAAGTCCAGAGGTCAAAGAGCTCTCAAAAACTACTATATAACGAAATTTAATACAGGTAGACTTAATAAATATTCTCTTGCTCTTTATCCAGCGAGGACGTATTATGTCAAATTCAGAGGTCTTGAAATCGCAATTAACAGTTCAGTGATATGTGAACACTATAGTAGCTATACAGGGTGTCTATTAAGACTACAATCCTGGCAAAAACTAATGAAACATCCAGTTTGATTAACAATTTAATTTATTCTTCCCCCCTTCCCCTCTTCCAATGTTGATTAAGATGAGCAAGAAAACTACACAAAGTGCTCTCTGCCATTGATGAACTATTGTATACATTTTTTAGAATGTATGTCCAACATTGTGCAGGGGGAGGCGATTTTGTCTCTTTTATTGATTTTTTATAGGTGTTTCATTAACTTTTTGCCAAGATTGCCTGAAAAAAGCCTTAAATACAAATATTTCCCCCTGAAAGTTACATGTATTTATACGGTAACGATGCTGGTTTTATATATCTACAGAATATATATAAAACATCAAAGGACATATAGAGACATCAAAGGTAACTATTAACAGTGGTTACTTTTATCCTGCTCATCAGCACTACACTGATGAGGCCCAAAAGGCCGAAACGGTACCGTCTGTAGTTAGATATTGCTCTATGGCCCTTCTGTCATATTGAGCACTCTACAGGATGAGCCATTGCTACTTACGCATTGTGCGCATGCTCACTGCTTGCAGTTTGAGCACTCTGGCAATGGTTTGATGC